TAAAACGCCTTTGGAACCAACTAGGATGCCTTTCACCACCTGCTGCATCAACATTGCAATTATTCAAAGGATTTCTAAGCCACTTCATGAGTTACATGCCGTAGGCTGCAGGCTATTGCCATTCCCATAGCCAGGTTTGAACTAGTTTTGTACCAAACACACAGGGAGAAGAAAAATGGGAACTCCAAACACAATTTCTTCACTATAGGAGTCTTTTCCCAGAGAAACCAGGGTTCAAATGACCATTCATTCATAGAAACTGACTGAATGATGTTGGGTAAGCCACTCTATAAACCTCATCTGAACAAATCTTGCCCCCCCCCCCCAAAAAAAAAAACTTACATGGGGAGTCATGACAGATTGGAATATACTTAAGGCATATAACTGCTACAACAAAGATGCACATCGAGGCATTCTTATTCATAGGGCAGTACAGAGAGAATGAAATGGATTGGGATGAGAAACAGTTTCATCACATAACAAACATATCTGAACAAGTCCTGGGCATTTCCATACGATCACACTAATTTGGATTCATTAAAGTTATGATAAACAATACCGCATGGCTCATCACCACAACTGCAAACAGAACTTTCTCTCATGCTTAAAAACTCTTGAGACAGAGCTGGTGTTCTGTCACTTTCACTGTATGTGTAAGACTCTCTTCTCGATGAAATCAGTCAACATACTCCTCTCTCTAAGAAATGTGCTATTTTTGCACACATTGAACTTTTTAGAAGACGCCTGCTGGTTTTGAGTCACCATTTCCAACTGTAATCATTTGATAATCAACACACAATCTAGGTTTTATCACTTGCAGAAAAATAATAAATTGTCCACGTCTTGGAATTCCTAACCACTGAAGAAGGGTTCAAGCACATATGATGCTCGCTACAAATATGGTCCCCAATAGGCCAAAGTTGCTGAAGTTTAACTGCTTTGTTTTTTTAACAAGGCAACTTATGATACATCCCACTCCTGTGTGTTGATATGCCAAAGAAAACAGCACAGATTTTGGCATTAGCATATGCAGAATTGAAAGCTTTAAACTGAACATATTAATGTCTCTTCTACAGGGTCCTGAAGACAGGTTAGGGACAGTTGCTGTGAACCTTTGGCTCACAGGATGTCCAGTAACCGCTCCTAAGGAAAGTTATATACTAAAGTAAAGGTAAAGGTTTTCCCCTGACATGAAGTCCAGTTGTGTCCAACTCTGAGGTGTGATGCCCATCTCCATTTCTAAGCCGAAGAGCCAGCATTGTCCGTAGACACCTCCAAGGTCTTGTGGCCAGCATGGCTGCATGGAGTGCCATTACCTTCCCGCCAGAGCGGCACCTATTGATCTACTCACATTTGCATGTTTTCGAACTGCTAGGTTGGCAGAAGCTGGGGCTGACAGCGGAAGCTCACCCCTCTCCCCGGATTTGAACCTGCAACCTTTTGATCAACAAGCTCAGCAGCTCAGTGCTTTAACCCACTGCACCACTGGGGGCTCAGTTATATATTAACTAGGCTTAATTTGACTGAGTTGATGCTAAATTAATTATTCTCACACTGAAGAAAAGCCTCAGTTATGGGGAATACGGGATACTCACAAGGGAAGACACAAAGATACTGAAAAGGCCAAGACCCAGAACCAGGGAAAACCATCCGAGATCATATGGACAGGCTGAATTATCCCAGAACATTCCTTAATGGTTCACATTAGCTTTACAAAGGCAACACCCACCCCCCCCCCTTCCCACTTGACTTGTCCCATCACCACTAGGAAGATTCACTATTTGATTTTAATGGAGGTTTCCACAGTATAGAGAAAAGTCGTATCTCCATCCAGTCTCAATAAGGACCTAGATCCACAGTTATTTAAACAAAACACCAACATACAGCACACAAATGAGTGTACTTTGAACCTGGGTAATCATTCTGCTATCCAAGTGATTGGTAGCGGGATAGGTGAGTTCAAAAAGGAAAACAATTTTAGAAAGGGGAGAGATATCATTTGAAGAGATTTGCATCAAACCTTTCTGCATAAGGTTGTGCCACACCCACAAGGAGAGACTCCCAAAAGTGTTTTAAATCTGGTGGTTGTTTTTAAAGCACTGTATGCTACTTCTAGGAGCCCCCGGTGGCGCAGTGGGTTAAAGCACTGAGCTGCTGAGCTTGTTGATCGAAAGGTCGCAGGTTCAATTCCGGGGGCTTTAATTGATCTACTCACATTTGCATGTTTTCGAACTGCTAGGTTGGCAGAAGCTAGGGCTGACAGCGGAAGCTCACGCCGCGGAGCTTCCGCTGTCAGCCCTAGCTTCTGCCAACCTAGCAGTTCGAAAACATGCAAATGTGAGTAGATCAATAGGTACCGCTCCAGCGGGAAGGTAACGGCACTCCATGCAGTCATACCGGCCACATGACCTTGGAGGTGTCTACGGACAACGCTGGCTCTTCGGCTTAGAAATGGAGATGAGCACCACACCCCAGAGTCAGACATGACTGGACTTAATGTCAGGGGACTACCTTTACCTTTACCTTATGCTACTTCTAGGTGAAGTGCTGGAGCTCAAGCAATAGCACAGAAGCAGAGGCATAATACAGCAATCACATAATTCATGCCATCAGGTTGATTGGTAACTAACCACCAGTACAAAAAGCAAAGCTGAAGCGAATCCAGCTCCAGGTTCCAAAGCAAATCATTCTCCAGCAAATCCTATTCTTCTGGACCATTTTAATGTTCTACAGTGCCCCAGAGCAGTATTGCATCAGGGGCACTCATAGAATAATCACAGGATGTCTTTAATCTACACCTATTGATAGACTCTATAAGCTAGCTGGCATCCCCCCCCCCCCATGTGCGATGGGAAGTTGCTGCCAATTGTGAGAGAAATAAGGTTGAACACTGTGAGAGCCACCCACTGTATGGCTACCAACCTCCTCCTAGTAGACTTAAATCAAGGAACTGTTTCACGAGAACCACCYCTCCTCATCATGTTTCTCCAGCAACAGCAAGAATATCTCTGTGGGCAGCAAAATCAGGCAATTCCAACTAGATGGGCCCCTATGAGGGTCTTCCTCCAGGGGCAAACCAAGAATGGGCAACTTGGAAGTCCCTGAACAGAAGTGGAATTGACAGATTAAAAGACAACCTAGCAAAATGGCACTGCCTAGAACAAACAGTGGATCTCAACCTGTGAATCCCCAGATGTTTTGGCCTTCAACTCCCAGAAATCCTAACACTGGTAAATTAGGATTTCTGGGAGTTGCTGGCAAAAACACCTGGGGACTCACAGGTTGAGATCCAGTACCTTAGAAGAATCCTCCACCTAGTGTAACTGTGGAGTAGAACAAACAACTCAGCATCTGTATACTTGTCCATTATTCCCTGCCTCGTGCACAGAGGAAGAACTGTTTAAAGCTACAGACAATGCAGTTGCTGTTGCCCATTTTTGGTCTAAATTTATTTAGCAGCTTGTTATCCCTTTATTTTATCAGTTTTAAACTTATCTATTTATGCAATTGTTTTGACATGAAATAAGAACTTTGAAAAGGACTGATAGCCACCACCAGAATCAATAGGTAATATTGCCTACTAAGACCGCATGGCAGATTTCCACCCCAGTGAGAATGACTAAAAGCATGGGCACCTAAAGGTGACAAACATCAGAACTGGCACTGGCATCCAGATCCTTCTAACTTTGCATGGAATGTGCACCTGAACTGTCATGGGAGCATGCAAAGCTATACTTTTACATGGTCTTTAACTTCTGGGTTGCTGTGAGTTTTCTGGGCTGTATGGCCATGTTCCAGAAGCATTGAAGGGAGATGTTGATAAGCTGGAATGTGTCCAGAGGGCGACTAAAATGATCAAGGGTCTGGAGAACAAGCCCTATGAGGAGCAGCTTTAAAGAGTTGGGCATGTTTAGCCTGAAGAAGAGAAGGATGAGGAGACATGATGATGGCCACGTATAAATATGTGAGGGAGGCTGGAGCAGGCTTGTTTTCTGCTGCCTTGGAGACTAAGATGCGGAACAATGGCTTCAAACTACAGGAAAGGAGATTCCACCTGAACATGAGGAAGAGCTTCCTAATTGTGAGAGCTGTTCAGCAGTGGAACTCTCTGCCCTGGAGTGTGGTGGAGGATCCTTCTTTGGAGCCTTTTAAGCAGAGGCTGGATGCCCATCTGTCGAGGGTGCTTTGAATGTGATTTTCCTGCTTCTTGGCAGAATGAAGTTGGACTAGATGGCCCAGAAGATCTCTTCCAATTCAATGATTTATGCTTCTATAATGCTGTCATAGAATCAGGCATCGGCAAGGGCACCCAGATCCTTCTAACTTTGCATGGAAGGTGCACCTGAAGTGCCATGGCTGAATACTTGGGAACAAGGGAAGCTGTGGTCTTTAACTTCCTCTGTGAAATAATTCTAGTGCCACATTAAAATACAAGTGGTGTCAAACTATGCTTTTTAGTTTTGGGATTTAGTGAGGCACATCCCTAGCAAAGAAGGCTTTCTCCTTCTTCTCTTCGGTCTTTCTTCTCCAGTCTCCAAAAGTCTCCTAAGGAAATCCAAAGGGGGAGGAGGGGAAACAGAAGCTCTTGCCTGAGAGATCTGGAGATCTGCCTCAACTGTGTTCCTCTAGGACAGGCATGGGCAAACTTCGGCCTTCCCTCCAGGTCTTTTGGAGTTCAACTCCCACAATTCCTAACAGCCGGTAGACCAGGCATGGGCAAACTTCAGCCCTCCCTCCAGGTCTTTTGGAGTTCGACTCCCACAATTCCTAAGAGCCGGTAGACCAGGCATGGGCAAACTTCAGCCCTCTCTCCAGGTCTTTTGGACTTCAACTCCCACCATTTGGAGTTGAAGTCCAAAACACCTGGAGAGAGGGACGAAGTTTGCCCGTGCCTGCTCTACAGTGTAGCGAGTGGATGCCCCCTGGCATACACAGAAGCGCAATGAGCCAAGAGTGGGGTATCAATCAGCCTGAGCGGAGGAGGGGAGCCACGCACTCACCCATGTTGACGAAGCTCATGACCATGTCTGCCTCGGTGAGGAAGTTGCTGTCCTGGAGGCTGGCCAGGGGGGGTGCCTGGGTGCTGAAGAGGGGCTTGTAGGGGTAGGAGTAGCCCTCCAGCCCGGCGGCCTCGGCGCCCGCTTCGCCCCCCATGCCCAGCGCAGCCGCCGCCTCCTCGGCCCCTCCGCCGCCTCCTCCGCCGGCCATGGCGTTGTAGAGGTCCAGCATGAAGAGCGGGGCGGCGTTGTGCTTGCCGTGCAGGTGGGGCCGGGGCCGGTGGGGCAGGCCCAGGATGGAGAGGATCTCCCGCTGCATCTCGCGCCGCTCCTGGCTCCGCAGCCGCCGGTGGATGAAGCTGGAGTGGACCTCGTGCTCCAAGGTGAAGTCGGCCAGCGAGGAGGAGGAGGAGGAGGAGGAGGCGCGCAGCTCCAGGGCCGCCCACAGCACCAGCAGCCCCAGCAGCATCGCCGGAGCCCCGCCGAAAGCCCACCCTGCCGGGCGCGGACGGGAGCCGAAGGAGCCGCGGATCCGAGGAGCAGCGCCCGCCGCCTCCGCCGCCGCCAAAGGATTCACTCGCCCCGGTCGCGCATGATCCGGAGGACGAGTGGGCTCAGTCCGCGGGAGCCATCCAGAGCAACGGAGGAGGCGAGAGGGAGTCAGTCCCTCGGAGAGGAAGGATGCCGCCGAGTGAGTCCGAAGAAGGGCTCTGGAGCCGGTGCAGAGCGAGAGGAGAGGAGGAAGGAGGAGAGGAGGAGGACGCTGCTCTCCGCCAAAGCAGGCGAGGCGGGACAAGGGCGGAGCCAGGCGGGTCCCTCTCCTTCTCCTTCTCTCTCTCTCTCCAAAAGTGTCCCAAGGAACTCCAAAGGGAAGGAAGGAGGAGGAGGAGACACAAACACGCGCAACAGACACAAACTCTCGCCGCGGAGATCTGGGGATCTTCCGCGATTCCTCCACGGAGAAGAGTTCAAGCAAGAAGGGCAAGGCGGGATCCTCTTACCCTACATCAGGCTTTCTCAAACTGCGGCCCTCCAGCTGTTTGGGCCTTCAACTCCCAGCATTCCTGACAATTGAACAAGTTGGAGGCCCAAACAGTTGGAGGGCCGCGCAGTTTGAGGATGCCTGCCCTACATCAAGGGAACCACTGACACTGCATAGGGAATCTGATGAAGAAACACAACATACAAATCTGCAGACCCACAAAGGATCTTGTCATAGCAGAGCAGCGTTTCTCAACCTGGGGGGTGTCAGAGGGGTCACCAAAGACCATCAGAAACCACAGTATTTTCTGTTGGCCATGGGGGTTTTGTGTGGGATACTGTGTCCAGTTCTGGGCACCACAATTGAAGGGAGATGTTGACAAGCTGGAATGTGTCCAGAGGAGGAGGAGGACTAAAACGATCAAGGGTCTGAAGAACAAGCCCTATGAGGAGGAGCAGCTTAAAGATCTGGGCATGTTTAGCCTGAATAAGAGAAGGCTGAGAGGAGACATGATAGCCATGTATAAATATGTGAGAGGAGGAGGGAACAAGCTTGTTTTCTGCTGCAGTGGAACTCTCTGCCCCGGAATGTGGTGAAGGCTCCTTCTTTGGAGGTTTTTATACAGAGGCTGGATGGCCATCTGTCGGGGGTGCTTTGAATGGAATTTTCCTTCTTCTTGGCAGTGGGCTGGATTGGATGTCCCATGAGGTCTCTTCCAACTCTATGATTCTATGATTCTATCGTTGGTGGGGTTCAGAATGCTCTTTGATTGTAGGTGAGCTATAAATCCCAGCAACTACAACTCCTAAATGTCAAGCTCTATCTCCCCCAGACTCCACCAGTTTTCACGTTTGGTCATATTGAGTATTCATGCCAAGTTTGGTCCAGATCCATCACCGTTTGAGTCCAAAATTCAAGGTCAATGCCCACCAAACCCTTTCAATATTTTCTTTTGGTCATAAGAGTTCTGTGTGCCAAGTTTGGTTCAATTCCATCATTGGTGGAGTTCAGAATGCTACATAGAGACCACCAAAGGAAGCATTGCCCAAACAGGAATCAAGGAACATGAAATGCACTGCAGGCTAACTCAACCAGAGAAGTCAGCCATAGCAGAGCACTTGATGAACCAACCTGGACACAGCATATCATTTGAGAACATGGAAATGCTGGACCACTCTAACAAACACCATGTCAGACTACACAGAGAAGCCACTGAAATCCACAAGCACGTGGACAATTTCAACAGACAGGAGGAAGCCATGAAAATGAACAAAATCTGGTTACCATTATTAACAAAAACTCTAAAGTTAGGATAGTAAAAAAAGAATACTCAGAAACAGAGCCAGCTAAGATTCCCCCAGGCAGGAATCAGCCAGGCCTTGAAGTTGCCAGACTTTGCAATGCTAATCAAGGTGATTAATTGCAACATTCACACTTGCCTCCAACAGACAAGAGTTCTTTCTCCCACCTTCCACAGATATATAAACCTCACTTGCTTAGTTTCCAATATACCTCACAAACTTTGAGGATGCCTGCCACAGATGTGGGCAAAACTTCAGAAGAGAATGCTTCTGGAACGTGGCCATACTACCCAGAAAACTCACAGCAACCCAGTGATTCTGGCCATGAAGGCCTTTGACAACACAGAGTTCAAACAGTCTCAACACAGCCCTGAAAAAAAGAGGTGGTGGCTGTTCCTCCTCCTCCTCTTCTTCCTTCTCTTCCCCCTCGTCCTCCTTTTCTTCTTCCTCTTCCTCTTCCTCTTCCTATTATTGCGGTATTATTATTCTCTTTGGTCTCCAGAAACGTCCCAAGGAAACCCAAAGAGTGAAACGGAGAACACATTACGCACAAGTTCTTGCCTGGCAGATTGGGGGATCTCCATAGAATCATAGAATCATAGAATCAAAGAGTTGGAAGAGACCTCATGGGCCATCCAGTCCAACCCCCTGCCAAGAAGCAGGAAAATTGCATTCAAAGCACCCCTGACATATGGCCATCCAGCCTCTGTCTTAAAAGCTTCCAAAGAAGGAGCCTCCACACACTCCGGGGCAGAGAGTTCCACTGCTGAACGGCTCTCACAGTCAGGAAGTTCTTCCTAATGTTCAGATGGAATCTCCTCTCTTGTAGTTTGAAGCCATTGTTCCGCGTCCTAGTCTCCAAGGAAGCAGAAAACAAGCTTGCTCCCTCCTCCCTGTGCTTCCTCTCACATATTTATACATGGCTATCATATCTCCTCTCAGCCTTCTCTTCTTCAGGCTAAACATGCCCAGTTCCCTAAGCCGCTCCTCATAGGGCTTGTTCTCCAGACCCTTGATCATTTTAGTCGCCTCCTCTGGACACATTCCAGCTTGTCAATATCTCTCTTGAATTGTGGTGCCCAGAATTGGACACAATATTCCAGATGTGGTCTAACCAAAGCAGAATAGAGGGGTAGCATTACTTGATCTAGACACTATACTCCTATTGATGCAGGCCAAAATCCCATTGGCTTTTTTTGCCGCCACATCACATTGTTGGCTCATGTTTAACTTGTTGTCCACGAGGACTCCAAGATCTTTTTCACACGTACTGCTCTCGAGCCAGGCGTCACCCATTCTGTCTCTTTGCATTTCATTTTTTCTGCCAAAGTGGAGTATCTTGCATTTGTCACTGTTGAACTTCATTTTGTTAGTTTTGGCCCATTATCTCTCTAATCTGTCAAGATCGTTTTGAATTCTGCTCCTGTCCTCTGGACTATTGGCTATCCCTCCCAATTTGGTGTCATCTGCAAACTTGATGATCATGCCTTCTAGCCCTTCATCTAAGTCATTAATAAAGATGTTGAACAACTTGTTCGTAGCAGGGGAAGGATTGCTCCTGTTCCTTTTGTTGCTTTTCCTCCTCGTTTTCCAAACGTCTCCAAGGGAATCCAAAGGGAGATGGGGAGACACACACACACACACACAAAAGTTCTTGCCTGGGAAATCTCCCACGACCCCTCCACTCCTTCCTGGCGGGAAGAGGATTCAAAGGAGGATGGCCCAACACACTCCTGGAAGAGGAAAGTCTATTGCTGCTCCTGTTGTTACTAACTTCGGTTTCCCAACGTGTCTAAAGGAAACCCAGAGGAGGAGGACCCCTTGACTCGTTCCTGGTGGGGAAAGAATTCAGACAGCTTTGACATTACCTGGCAAAGGAGGTTTCCTCCTCCTCCTCCTCCTCTTCTCCTCTGTCTTTCTTTTCTGATCTCCAAAAGTATCCTTAGAAAATCCAAAGGGGGCGGGGGGGGGGGGAAGAGAAGAGACAAAAGCTCTTGCCTCAGAGGTCTGGAGATCTGCCTCAATGGTGTTCCTCTAGGACAGGCATGGGCAAACTTGGGCCCTCCAGATGTTTTGGAGTTGAACTCCCACCATTCCTAACAGCCTCAGGCCTTTAAGCGGCTGAGGGGGGAAAGGAAAGAACCCGGGGCTGTTAGGAATTGTGAGAGATCAACCCCAAAACACCTGGAGGGCCCAAGTTTGCCCATGCCTCCTCTAGGATGATTTTTAATATCCAGCACATGGGGGAAGATGGACACTTGACGGTCGGAATAGATAGACACGTCTTTACTTGTCTAAGGGCACATCTACATTGTGGAATTCCTGCAGTTTGACACCACTCTAACTGCCAGAACTCAATGCTATAGAATTTTTAGGGTTGTAGCTTGGTGAGGTACCAGCACTGTTTGGCAGAGAAGACTGAAGATCACACCCATGATTCCATGGCATTGAGCCATTGCAGTTAAAGTGATGCCAAACTGCATTAGTTTTACTGTGTAGAGACACCCCCCCCCCCCAAAAAAAAAGCCTGTTTGGAGACCAGAATTCCAAGGCCCAGAATTCGAGACCCTGGAAATCTACTATCAAAGGCTTTCATGACCGGAATCACTGGGTTGTTGTAGGTTTTTTTGGGCTATATGGCCTTGTTCTAGAAGCATTCTCTCCTGACATTTTGCCTGCATCTCACATTTTGCAGGCATCCTCACAACCTCTGAGGATGCCTGCCATAGATGCAGGTGAAATGTCAGGAGAGACGTCAGGAGAGAATGCTTCTAGAACATGGCCATACAGCCAAAAAAACCTACAACCCTAAAAATCCTTTCTACCCATCAGAACTCTTCTATTTTGTGGGTTCCTATTCTCCTGGTCACTAGCTCTGCTCATTTTCTTTGGATTTGTTGTCCGCCCTCAATTTGTTGCTGGGCTTTGAAAGCAGTTTGGTTTTTTTAGCGAGGGGGGTTGTATGAACCTTCATCCCAAGGTCACCCAGTGAGTTTCTATGGCTGAGCAGAGATTCAAACTCTGCTCTCCAGAGTTTTGGGGGTGTACCTATACTGTAGAACTAATGCAGCTTGACACCATTATAACTGCCATGACTCCATGTCATGGAATCATGGGAGTTTTAATTTTACAAGCCTTGCCTGACAGAATACTGGTGTCTAACCAAAGTATAATGCCTAGGAACCCATAGCTTTGAGCCACAGGAGTTGTAGTTTTACAAGGTCTTTGGTCTTCTTTGCCAAGAAAGGCTGGTAACTTGCCAGCTATAAAAGGCACTGGATTTTTGCAGGGAGGGGAGGGGAATCTGCATACTTGACATCCTATTAGGGAATAAGAAGGGTGAAAGAAGTGATGGAGATAGCTTCTATTGTCTTCCAATATCTGCTGCCTGAAGTGGGTGCCTCACTGTGGCGAAGAATCATAAGAGTTGGAAGAGATCTCGTGGGCCATCCAGTCCAACCCCCAGCCAAGA